GCGCCCCGCTCCCCCTGCCGTCTCCAGCCTGCGCCAGACGCCCGCGGGGCCGGCCACGTGCGGAGCCCGGAGCCCGCGAGGGGAGGGCGGGACCCGAGCGGGTGGGCGATGCCTCCCGGCTTCCAGATGCTATATAAACAAACCCGGACGGAGGAGGACGAGGAGGCGAGGACGAGACGCGGCGGGAGAGGCTCGGGCGCTCTCGCAGACCGCGCGGATGCTCGCTTTCGCTGCCTGGGCTTTCGGGGCAACCTCGGACTGAAGGGGAACCCGGCTCCCCAGTGATCTCATCCAAAAGGCGCCAGGCCGGAGATCCCGGTGGGAAGCGCGCCATGTGCCCGCCAGAGTGCCGGGGATTCCTCCATGGTGCCGGCGGCGACAGGAGGCGGTGGCGGCGCTGGGCTCGACCCGTCCCGCCGAGGAGGGCTTCCCGAGCCGCACGCCCCGTCCCGCAGCTCCGCCAGGTACGTGGAGGGGGAGGAAGAGAACGCGGGTCCCTGAGCGAGGCGGGCTTCTCCGGGAGCAGCTGCTGGAGGACTCCGTGCAGACCCTGGCAGCTCTACTTGGGGTGTGCACAGACCCGGGCCGGTTAACACTTGGCAGTTCCACCCGCTCCTTTGCACGCCTGCACTCCGCTCCAGATCCCTGCAAGAGCTAGCTGCCCTCTCTGATCTCGCTTACACCTCCGTCAATGGCCAGAAATCGTGGGGATGGAGATAAGTCTCCGGCAGATGAGACCCCCGCCCCCAAGGCTGATTCACCAGCGCCCCACTGCACACGCACGAACCTGTGGCAGCCTCTCCCAGGGCCCAGCGTGCCTGGCACTGTGAGCGCTTGCTAGGTACCCTCGGGATCAGGAGCCCGCACTCCTGAAGGAGCCGGGCCTTAGGTGTGCGCGCTGTGCAGGCTCTGTCAGCCTGTCCAGAGCCAAAAACGTACGCCACGGCCATCTCTTTGTTACAAGCTAGACATGACGCCTAGAAGCTTGGGAAGGATGAGGCTGTATACTCCAAACGGTATTTCCCCCCCTCTTTCTTGTTTTTCTCCGTCTCTCTTCCTCTCTCCTTTTTTCTCCTCTCCTCTCCTTGCCCTCTCCACTCTTTCACTTAACTGTCTCCCTTGGGAAAGACACAGATTTGAATCTGAAGAGTTGTGCTTGAAACTCTTCACATTATCATTTAAAATGGACTTGAACAATAGAGTCTGGCTGTATGACTTGATGAATAAAGCTTTATGCTGTGGTATTTGTTTCTCTGTGAATCGATTCTATTTCAGAAGAGCAGAAGCGATTTAATAAATGTTTTTGAATGTGCCCTTTATAGAAAGAACGTTTATCTTTAAATCTTGCACACGTGCAATTTAAGAATCTGGAGAGCAAGGGATTTAATTCTTCCTCCTCCCACACGCATACACTTTTATACGCTTGAGTTATTTTCTAACCTCCTTGTTCTAAGTGCAGTTCTGATACATAGAAATATGAATTCAGAGAATCAGTAGAACAAGGAGAGATTTTCTGAGATGATCGATTCTCAAGGAAAAATAACTTAGAAAATTGTTTAAGTATACTGGATGTTTATGCCTTGGCTATATGCCTTGGCTATGGGTGAGGTTACTGATAATGTAAAAAGGAAAAAAAAAAAAAAAGAACGTTGAAAGTACACTTGGAATTGAAAAGTTAAAATCTTTCACATTTTAAGATCATTTATACCTTTAAGAAATCCTGACTCAGAAATTGACATACTGTCATTTTATGAATAGACATACTGAATCCAGGATGTTTCAGTATTGTCACCCTATTAAATGTCTTGGCTGGTAATTCACAGAACATTATTGATGATGGTGAATGGATATAACCATCAGTTCCCTGGAGAAGTACATGGAAAGCACATAGTAGAAAGTAGGAGAAAATGATGCCCACTTCTGCATTTACAGTGTAGACATCATTTTTGCTTTTTCCCCCAGCTACTGAATTTATTTATTTATTTTTGACTCAGAGAATAATTTCCCCTTTCTCTGCAAGCTGATGTTCTCTTACAATTTCATGTATAAAGTACTGACTTATTACAATACATCTCAGAAAACTCAGTATTTTAGATTGAATTTACAAAGAGAAAACTGTTAAGTTAATTGATTAGATAATTCAGATTTAATACCTATATAGACGTGGGTGATTTTTCAATTTGTTACTAATACTGGTTTATTTCAATGTTTTATGTTTTGTTTCAAAAGATTGAGTGTTTGCATCTCTATTATGTTATAGCTCAGTTAGCAACCTCAAGTAAGCAGAGTTTCACTGTGCCTAGTAATGTGCTAATAACCATGGGGACTTGTGCTTTTAAAAAAGCAGCCGGGTCTGTAGCCTTCAATAACTTACACTCGGGTTGCAAATACAACATAAGGACAATTAAAATAAAATACAAAAGCTACTTGTTCTAGTCCTAAACTGGGTCAAGCTCAAATCCTACCTTAGAAGATGCAGGAGTATATTGTATTGGTTCTTTGTACTCCAAAGTTCAGTGACTTACAATAACAACTATTTTGCTGTCTCTTATTCTGTGCATTGCATAGGCCCAGCAGTGCTGGTCTGCTGTACATGAGAAAAATGCTCTTGATTTCATTATATTAGCAAATAGCATCAAATAGATTAGTTTACACTTTTATGTATGAAAAGACAATATCTGTTGAGAGCCTTCTGTTCATACAGCAAAGAAAAGTCATCAGCAACTATTTTTGAACACTTTTTTATCTCAACACTGTAGATTCTAGAACTGATAAGCATTTGTTGTTAGAAGTTACAACATTTATAAACTAGTACAACCACTGTGAAAATCAGAATGGAAAGTCCTCACAAAACTAAAACTAGAAATTCCATTCCACCAAACCATTCCCCTTATAAGTATCTCCTCAAAAGAGTTAAATATGTCATTTCACTTATCCCATGACACATGCCTAGTTATGTTTATGGTAGCACAATTCATAGTAGCTGGACCTTGCAGGTAAACTTTGTGTCAGTGATGCAGAACCTGGTAAAGTTCTCCATCATGCAAACAGCCTGCTTGAGCATGCATACCATAGGTTCACCACACTGTTTTATGTCCATCAATGAATGAATAAAGAAAATGTGCTACTTACATATAATGGAGTACTACCTTGCCACAGAGGATAGTACTGGAGGATAAACCAGAGTCATTTGCAGGAAACACATGTACCTTGAGACCATCATGTTACGTGAAATAAGTTAGACATGCAAGCTTAAATGTCCCATGGTTTCTCCTCTTACATGAATAACTCAAAATATAAGTAAAGAACAAAATAAAAGATAGATAATAGGGAGTAGGAAAATAGATCTTCCTCAATTGGGAGAGGGATCAAGAGAAAGGAGGTGGAGGAAAGGGAGAAGAAGGAAATGAAAAATTAAGATGTGTTCTGTACAGGTGCCAACTGAACACAAGGAGTACAAGCATTATGTACTGCAACAGGGACTAATAAAAATTTTTGTGTAATTTACTATAATTTACCAATGAAGTTAAACTTTATTTTAACTTCTGTCTTAAAATGTTAGCATTTATTTCTATCTGAATATTAGTGTTTTGTGTTTTTTTGTGGAAAGAATCCAGAAAGTAGAGCAGAAAGACAATTGTCTACAAATAAAGAGTCATTGTATGGTTTTACCCCCCTCAAATTTCTGGAATATAAAAATTCTTCAAAGTTTTAATTCAAGGAAAATGACTAGGACATGGTGTTATTCATCTGTGTTTGACTAAGTTGTTCACATGTTAAAAAGTAATTCTGTAACGAGAAAAGAAATATGGATGCATTAAATAGTGATTTAAATAAGACTAAATTCATTTAATTAAAAGGAAGACACATATTACAGGAATTTTCTTCAATCAACTTATATATTAAAATGTGCAATTGCCTAGCCTCTATCATTCCTGACATTCTTCATAGAGAGGCCCCAAATCAATTCTCCCATCCCTCTCTCTCTCTCCTTCTCCCTCTCTTGCTCTTTGCAACTCTGCAAATGCTATTGGAAAGACTACACAAACTTAAATATATTTATGAGCTTTTCAGCATGACGAAGAGGTTAAAAGGTGATTACAATTAAACATGGTAGAAATTAGAAAGCTATAAATGCTGAAAAGAAAACAGAAGTTAAGGGGCTGGGGATTTAGCTCAGCGGCAAAAGCGCCTGCCTGGCAAGCGCAAGGTCGTGAGTTCGGTTCCCGGTACCGGAGAAAAACAAACAAACAAAAAAAAAACAGAAGTTAGTCTGCTTGTCCTAACCATTCTCTACCTAGGCACAATCTTTACCTTATAGAATCTGAACACTTAAAGTTATCTTTATTAGGCCAGGCACTGTGTTCCTGCCTGTCATCCCAGAACTTGGGAAGCTGAGGCAGAATGATCACTGCAAGTTCGAGGCCCACCTGGGCTACAGAGTGAGTTCAAGGCCAGCCTGAACTGCATAGTGAAACCCTATCTCAAAAAAGGCAAAAAAAAATACTCTTTTTTGACAGACTGTACCTTGATTTTAAAATATCATTTCACGGGGATTGTTTTAGTAGTAAGATCTCCATATAAAAGTCTGCAGTTGCTCAAGTCCCTTATAGAAAACAATGTAATATTTGCTTATAGCCATATCTTCTTATAATTTTTAAATAATTGGTAGATTACTTATAATTACTGATACAATGTAAATATTGTATAAACAGTTGTTATACTGTATACTGTATTATTTGAGGGAATAATGACAATGGAAATTTCTTTCATTGTACATGTTCAACATAGATGCAATTTTTTTCCAAATATCTTTGATGTAGTTGAAGGTTGACTAGGAAACC